GCCCTCGCTGTGGCCAGGGAGACAGGATGACCAGCAGGGAGCCCTGACTGACCGTGTCTCTGAGACCAGTCTCACTGGGGAGGTGCAGCCATCTGAAGAAAGATCAGGGCAATAGTATCAAAAGCAGGGCCTTTCTGAGCTGAAAACAAAGGACTGAGAAGAGCCAGGCACACAAAGGCTGAGGGAAAAGGCAAGAGCAAAGACAGCCCCTAGCTCCTGTGACAGGGAATCGGTGGGGTGGAACTCTGAGTAGGTGGAAACCTGTGGTGGACCAGGTGGTGCGTCAGGTTCTGTGGACTGAAGAGGGCACTCACTTGTGGGTGGGTGAAGCCGATCATCCCCTGAGGGCAGTGACAGCCTTCTTTTCCAGGATAGATGTGGAACGCTATAAAGTTTTTAAATAATTTTTTTCTAAGTACTGTTAGTGGCACCCCACAAATTTTGATATGTTGTGTGTTTATTTCCTTTCTCAGGTTTCCTTTTCATCGGCCCCATGAACTCTTGAACAAACGTTAGTTTATTTAGTTGCCAGACATCTAGGGATTTTGTAGTTACCATCTATCATTGATTCTAATTTATTTCCACTGTGGTCAGAGGATCTACTTAGCCTGACTCAAAGCCTCTTACATTTCTTCCAGAAGAGAATGTCTCTCGTCACAAGTTTCACGGATGTTTGAAGAGTCGTTGTTGACGAGCCCTCTGAAAACGTGGGTTAGGTCAAGCTGATGGACAGTGGTGCGAATCTCTAATGTCCTTGTTAACTTTCTGGCGACTCGCTCCATCTGCTTTTGAGAGAGGGGTGTTAGCATTTCTGACTATAATTGTGTGTTGACCGTTTCTCTTCATGGTTCTCTTCATCTTCGCTTTACTTACTTTGAAACCCTGTTGTAAAGTATGTGCCGTGTTTTGGAGACAAGTCTTACATATATTGCAGGGTTCTGACTTGTCTTTCTGAAGCAGACTTCCTCATGGAAAGAGGGCCTCCACCAACCAGTCGCTTCTAAGGATGGGGCTTTTTCGTTTGTTTGCTGCAGGCATAGATTTCTGGTGAACTTGGCCACAGCTGAGAGTTCTTGCAGGTATGGATGATCACGGGATCATGGCTGGAGAGGATCTGGGAGCCAGAGGCAGCTGCAGAAATAAAGCGAACAGCCGAGTCTCAACACATGTATGTTTGCACAGTGTTTATCACGCTGAGGAGGGCATGGTGGGGTGTGTGTGTGCATGCATGTGTGTGTGTGTCTTTCAGGGCAACATCTCTTCTCTCTGACCAGCTGGGAAAGGCCTGAAGGAGTCATTACAAAAGTCTCAGAGGGCTGGGAAGAGCATGTGGGAGTTTCTGTTCCCTTGTATGTCCAGGGTCTGGACAGCTTCTGCCACAGAGAAGAAAGAGAAAAGTTTTTTTTTTTTTTTTTTTTTTTT